GTATTAAATAGAGTATTTTTGGAAATTTTTGGTGATTTATACTTCTACTACTTTTATTATATTCTTGTCAGTCCTTACTTCGTTGGTGATCTATATAAAAAGAGACCCGAGCTTGCAGGAGATCTGATGATACACACAAAAACCATACAAATTATAATTTAGAATTTTCCAAGTTCCCTACAGTCAAAAGAATGGGACACAGTACGAGGAAAACAAATCGTGGATATACATAAACTCTCTTCCTCAGGTTGTTACAGGTACATTTGCTGAAATCAGAACAACTTAACAAACACCAAAAGAGCCGCAGAAACTGTCAGCCAAAGACGAGAAGAAGCGGTGGTGGCTGCGTTTACGTCTGCAGCTGAAGCAGGAGGCAAAGCAGGGCACTCTAGACCTTCTTTACCTTCTTTACACTGGTTAGCGAAAAGTCCAGGCGGGTATTTACCGTAGAGGTTGATGTAACTGAACATAGTGGTTGCACAATCTGTGCTCAGGTCGTTGAGCTCGTCGACGTAAGGACAAGCAAAGTCCTTGAAGGCGGCGCAACATTCCTTTGGTGGGTACTTTGGACCTTTGCATTCGTTTTTTATGACCGTGTAGTTCATAAACTCGAAGTTCACTGGACATGCTGTTTCAATTTTAAAAAAAAAGAAGAAGAAGAGAAACCATGTTAGTATGTACCCCAACAGTTTTGTTCGAAAATCGGTTGCATCCGCAGGATGCATAAGCGGACAGAATCGCTACCGATGCAGCATTAGCTGTTTATACAATGTTTAATACCAATGCCATGATTAAGAGTTTTGAAGATCAATAGCAACTGTAGAAATAGAAACAATCACTACAAATGCGGAATTAGCAGATGGAGAGAAGAAATTGAAGATCAATAGCAATTTGATGAGGTTCGAAGATAATCATCAAAGCCAGATTATACACAAGACCAAGAGTAAAGGACAATATAAGCAGAGAACACCCAGAAATTCTTACTATAGAGTCATATTCAAGAATCAAGGTTGTAACTCAAAGATTTGGTCAATAAAC